GACCCCATCGCTCTGATTCTCTCACAGAACCCTAACCCAGATCAGCATCCAGTCCCCTTGAGGTTCGCCACCGAGAGTTACTGCATGGAGAGATGACCTAGATACAGAGCCTACACGGAACTCAGGGAATCACAACTAAGGAGGAAATACATGAGCCCAGAAGAGTCCAAAGAACCCGAATCGAAACTAACCCCATTGAAGAAACAAGTCAAATTTCAGACCCATCTGATCAATTCGCAAAAAGGGTCTTTCGTTCTCGCTTAATCGATGCTTGATTTCTCAGTCGTGCTGCGGAAAGAGAACCACAAGCCGTCGTCGAGGCTTCCGTCGATGCAGGAGATAACTTCGCCAGCGAAGAGTTGGGCGAAAGAGGTGGACGGGGCTCTGTCGAATTCAAGGGGGAGTAAATCGGCGATCGCGGGAAAGAAGAGGTACAACCCACCCTCTCTTTCTCCTCTCTCGCTAAACACCTGCACCCCCAAAACCCAGAAACCCTTCCCACCCGTCTCCACCACAACCTTCCTCCACCATCATCTCTCTCATCTCTGTCTCCTCAGTGGCCCGAAAATTGACAAAACGTCGACACTTTTTCTCCCCAATGCCAGGAACTCCCTATCCACGAAGCTATTGTGCGTCCTACAGTTGGTAATTCCGAAGCTTGGATTCTCCGCCACCAAAAACCCGTCATCATCATCCTTGAGCTGGAGATGAAGCACATGTTCGTTACTCGCCACATCAGAATCCGACGATGTCCATGCCTGAGTGGTACACACTCATCTGGGAGCAGAATCCGGTGATGTATGACTCACTCATCAGCGACCCAGCGTTCTCGAACGCGTCGAAGATTTTTCGATCGTCGCAGTTCAAAATGAGCAAGGTGCATGAAGAGCTGCAAGTAGCCCAGATAAAGAGATAAGAGAGAAAGGAGAGAGAATGTGGTGGAGGAAGGTTGGGGGGACGGGTGGGCAAGGTTGGGGTTTTCTGTTTGAAAATGGGGAATTAGGGTTTGGGTTTGGGTTCAAAAGGGATGGGAAAAGTTAGGGGAAGGGAAGATGTGGGGGATGGGGGTGGGTTGGGGAAGGTTGGGGGGACGGGGAAGAGTTTAGGGGTTGTCGAAGAGAAGAAGAAGGTTGGTGCGGGTGGAGGAAATGGGAGGCCCGCATCTCCAGGGGAAGGGAAGAGGTGGGGGATGGAGGTAGGTTGGGGAAGGTTTAGGGGATGGGTGGAGGAAGGTTTCAGGGTTTGGTGGTTGTCTAAGAGAAGAAGGTTGGTGCGGGTGGAGGAAAGGGGAGGCCTGCACCCTAGGCTATTTTAATTTTTTTTTGTTTTTTTTATTCTTAATTTTTTTATAATATTTTATTTAATTATAATATTTAATAATTAATAATTAATTAATTTTTTAATATTTTATTAATTTATTTAAGCCACGTCAGCACTTAACAGAGAAACTAACAGAAAAACTGACGGAGGTATAACATTGACACAAATTCGTAAGATGAGGTATGACATTGTCATTTTAAAAAGATGAGGTATGAAAATGTCGTGAGAGCAATAGTTGAGGTAATTTTTTGTACTTTACCCTTCTTTTTTATACAAGTGATATCGAAAAAAGAGGATTTGAACATAGGACTTTGGTTAAGGTAAACGCTCTTCACCATTTTGAACTACGAGATCCTTGCTACTTCTCTTATGCAGTAGTCTCTGTATAGAGTTGAGTGCGAAATCACACTTCTTGTTACTGATTCTCGTGTGTGTGTGTGTGTGTGTGATGCAAAGTTTTACATAAATCTGTATGTTGGTTGCTCGAATCTATGATTGGGGTTACGTTGCTGTTAAATTTAAGTTCTTTTGACACTTTATTACAAAGTTGTTTAATTTTTAAACCATGTGTGACTGTTAAATTCATCTGCAGCAGCCAAGTCTTTAAGCAGATTCATCTCCACTTTTCATGAAGTTTTAGGTGGAGCCAGCATCAAATGACCAGAAGTTCTTCGTAGGCTCAACAAACCAAAAGGAAGAAGAAAAAGAAGAAGAAGAACAAGAAGTAAAGCCGTTCCTGTTGATGATGGACAAGTACATAAATCAAAATTTCAGTTCCCCATCGTGGTCGCATGTCGATGTGAAGGAAATACCATATTGGGCATGTTGCGGATCTGAGCAACCGAATAAAGCGCTTCTTGGTTTCAGTAGTTGCCGTGGATGAACATGAGGACACTAGTTCACCTACGTATCTGACTAATTCATACAACAGTTTGGAGAGCTGGGTTGCTCAAGATGTTTCATCTATTCTTCAAGATTTTGAGCCAGATGCACAAGATGGTGGAAAAAGCTGCGAAGTTCAAAATATGGGCATGCAATATGGTGTGGATGGAAACATGGTGAGAACATCTCTTCCCTCCATTGCACCAGAAAATGTGGGATGCAGTAGCTTTGAACCACCCATCTTCCCGGGATTCAACGGAGATTTTGAAACCCTTTCTCCAATTTCTCAAGTGTGGCCTCTTCAATCTTATGAGGGCGTTCCTTCTGCTATTATTCCTGGTATAGGAGAACACCAAATGGGCAGCTTTGGCATGAACAGAGACTATGGGGATAATGACATTTATTCCATTGCAAGCGATCACAACAACCCGGCTGCTTTAGTCTCCACTGAGGTATCAATCTGCGATCACTGACAAATTTAATGTTTTTAGCTGCAGATGCTAGTTCATTCACTTGTATTTGGGATGTAAGGTATTTATATTTTTGGTGAGTGAAATGCTTTTACAATTGTTTGCTTGTGTAATATAGAAGGGAATGCATGACGTAGGAAATTATCCTTTGCCTTCTTTCTCTTCTGCTCCTCGTATGCCTGGATTGCAGACTTTACCACAGGTACTTATCCTGGATCCACTTTTCTCTTGGATTAGTTAATTGAAGGTTGTGATTCATGTCGAATTTTGAGTCTGGACAGATGACTGTCATTAATTTTCTCAGTTATAAACAGTAGAGCAGGTACTCTATCTAGCAGGCATTACAGAAACTCTACGCCGAGTCTTTAGTATTCTCTTATTTACTACTCGTAAACATTAGGCATAATACTGTCACCCATTATTACTACGAAACTGAAAAAGACCTCATACACCCTAAAAAAGGAACCGCCCCAGATTTTCTTGTGTGCTAAGAAATAAGAACAAACTCGATGATTTTTTGTAACAAGTGAATCTCTGTCAGGTCAAGAATGGTTTGCCGCAGTTGCCATCAATCGGTCAAGCAGCTGACATTTCCTTCGACGAAACTGCTTTAGAACAAGTAGTGAAGCTGATCGAATCGGACGGGAACAAGGCAATGCAGCATCTCCAAAGCAAAGGCTTCTACCTCATGCCAGTTGCTCTTGCTGATGCCATTTCCACAGCAACGGAATCGTCTTCATCGCCGCCAGCTCCCGTTTCTGATGATTGGCAGAAGAAGAAAACCGGTTTTGCCGGTGTTGCTCACAATAACAGCAGCAGTAGCAGTAACAGCAGCAGCTCACCTAATAAGGTCCAACGATAAGTCGACAACAAATTGGATTAGTTACTACTTCATGAATTTTATTTTATTTTTTTCTTTTTCGATGACCTTTGTTTTTAAATTATAAAATAAAATAAAAAAATAAAAACTAATTTCTGAGGTTTTTGTTTTGTTTTGTGGAACATGGTAGATAGAGATTAGTACTTTCATGACATGGAACTACTTGACTTGGAAACATGGTAGCTGGATCAGTTCAATCACGTGCCCTTGCTAAATAAAGTTTTTTCCACAAGATGATATATGTTTTGAACTATTCTAACCAATGAAGGGGTATTCGATCTTAATTGTAAAAACCAAAAGGAACAAGCAGATACACTATCTTAATCAACTGACCTAACTCACATCTGTAAACTAATTCTTAAATCATTTAACTAACTGACATAACTCGCACACGTAAACTAATTCTTATGTCATTTGTCTTCATTTTCATTGCAAGGTCATTAATTCAAATACTTAATCTTTACCATTCCAGTTTTTTTTTTTTTTTTTTTTTTTTTTTTTTTTTTGAAAAATCAAACTCAATAATTGAAGTTATCCACACAATTTTGAAAAACTTCCTAAGATTTGATATCTCTTTGTTAAATCTTTATTCATTTCCTTTAGATTTAATTCGACATTATCCTTTTATCTTCACATGCACTCCTACTACTACTAGATAATTTCTATGAATTATCATGTCTCATGATAATTATTTACTACAAAAGAAAAAGGTCAGCACTCAACACTCAGCATGGAGAATAAAGCTAAAAATAAAAAACAATAATATTATTTCATGAATAAAAAAAATTTATATACAAATTGTCAAGGTTAAAATAATCTTAAGCTTAGATATGTTTGTGGTTAAAATAAAATTGACAAATAGAAATTAAAGTAGAATGTAAGTTGAAATTGTCATGAAAAAAGAAATAATCTTGCTCACCAGTCTTCAATGAATCTCTCACCTCTCTTTAATAACTAACCATTCTGTTTATCATCATTTGATGAATTTAAATTTTAAAATATGTGAAAATTTAAATTCATATAACACAAATAAAATCGGGCATTATAAACGGGAAAGTAACTTTACTGCTAAACATTTCAGCAGGAATTCTTGCTTACACCCAATCTCGAATAAACACGTGTCCATCCAAAATTAAATATAAGCAGGAGCTCTACTGAAATTTCAGCAGCGAAGTCTTTGTTCTTATAACGGTACCACCGTACGACCGCGTGGGGGCGGTGATGTAAATACACTCGGTCAGAAATCATTTAATAAATCGGTGATCTTTGTAGTAGGAGGCAAAAATGCGGGAATTACAGTTACAGTTACAGTTACAGGTGGCGGTTGACGTTTCCACCTTTCTGTGTCTTTCCTGCTTTTTAATTTACCTTTTTTGCGTGGCATGGCTTCTATAATATTTATTTTTTTTATAAAATATAATATAATTGTTACAGATAATACAATACAACAGGTTTGCTGTTGTATGAACAATTTTATTCCGAAAATAGAACCCATATAAAATTGCAAATATTCTGCATATAAGACGGCCTTACAGTTTCTGGTGGGGTCTGTCGGAGATTCTGTGCCTTGTGGTCTGATTGTGAATAGGGTTTTGGTTTTTGGGGCAATTTGCACAGAGACGTATTGCAATTGAAGAAGAAAGAAAAGCACTTTTGCTTGTGGAGGATTCAGGTTCTGGGAATTTCTGGTGATCTCTCAGAAACCCAATTGGCAAAATCTCTTAAATTTGCGAATGCACTTAAATCTGGGGACTTTGGCCAAATGGGGTTTTGAATTTGCTGCTTCCAACTTTTAATTTTGGTAAATTTTTGCTGCTTTTCTTGTATACCATGAGAAATGAAGCTTAAAGTTGTGTTTTTTTGCATGCAACCCTGTTGCTAGCTGAAAGATTGATGCTTTCTTGAACTCTCAGCTTGAATTTTGTGTTTTTGAATTGAATTTTGTGATTGTGATTGAATTATGAGTTCGGACGGCATTTTGTATGTGTGCATTTCAGTTTCGATGAGCTTTTGAGTTCCAAATTCGTAGAGCTTTGATGTGGTTTGGCGTCTTTTCAAATTTTTAGCTTATTTGGATTCTATTTGTTAGCAGGTGATTTAGTTGCAATTCTGTTTAGGGAGAGCATACAATTATGACCTGTCATCATGAGAGGGCTCCGGTGGGATAGTTGTGAATGGGCACCCCCGACAACAAACTCTCCGAGTTAGTTGACGTATTCAAGTCTTGGATTCCCAGGAGGTCCGAGCCGCCCAATGTGTCCAGGGACTTTTGGATGCCTGATCAGAGCTGTAGGGTATGTTATGACTGTGACTCTCAGTTCACAATATTTAACCGAAGGCATCATTGTCGACTTTGTGGCCGAGTTTTCTGTGCCAAGTGTACTGCAAACTCTATTCCTGCGGTGTCCGATGAGCCAAGGGTTGGAAGGGAAGATTGGGAGCGGATTAGGGTCTGTAATTATTGCTTCGAGCAATGGGAGCAAGGGGGAGCCGCACCCAATAATGCTGCCACCCCCGCAGCCAGCCCTGGTCTCAGTCCATCACAATCCGTGACAAGTTTGGCAAGCACCAAGTCCAGCTGCACCTGCCACAGCAGCAGCAGCACTATTGGTTCTACCCCTTACTCGACTGGACCTTACCAGCGTGTGCCATATAGTTCTGGTCAGAGCCCTAGTCAATCATCTTCCGAAATTTATTCAGTTCCGGTACAGCAAGACATTGTGACATCGCAGATGAGCATTAGTTCTGATGTAGCCATGGCTGAGCCGTCTCCAAATCTATATGGCTTTTGTATGAACAGGTATCTCCTGCTCTCACTGAATACTTTTTCGGTGTACTTCACAGATTGATAGAGCATTATCTTCTTTAGTTTCATATAAGTTTTGAAGTTTCATTATAAGGTATTTGTGTACGTGTGAATAAAGGATACAAATCTGGATTGGAAGGTGAATAAAGAGTTTGTGTTTACATGAAATATCTTTTCAGACATTCTTCTTCATTCAATGTTAATGTTGCGTGTGAGTATGCGATACATGTCGGGTCATATAAATGAATTTTGAATTTATGTTTCTATCCATGATTATTCATTCAAGTTCCCATATCTCATATCCTTATATTTGGCTCTTTATAACGTAATCCATTGCTTGTTTTTACTTATCATCTGATACCAGGAGTGATGATGAGGATGATGACTATGGAGTTTATCGTTTAGATTCAGAACCAAGTCATATCTCTCATGGCAATGACTATTATGGTGCAGTCACTATTGAGGAATTTGCTAGCGTCTATGGACCCCAGAATGTGCATCTTGACGGAGATAACACGAGTTCCTTATTATCTGGGAGTTTTGATACACAGGATGTAGTGGGAATTCAGAAAATTGAGGAAGAACAATATGAACACGATATCGGTGATGAATGTGGAACTTCTGCATATGACCTGCAAAGCACGAATACCGAACCTGTGGATTTCGAGAACAATGGGCTACTTTGGCTCCCTCCGGAGCCTGAGGATGAAGAAGATGAGAGAGAAGCTGTCTTATTTGATGACGACGATTATGATGGTGGTGGTGCAGGGGAGTGGGGATATCTGGGTTCTTCAAATGGCATTGGTAATGGGGAGTGTCGTACGAGGGAGAAATCAATTGAGGAGCACAGGAAGGCAATGAAGAATGTGGTGGAAGGTCATTTTAGGGCTTTGGTATCTCAGCTTTTGCAGGTTGAAAACCTACCACGGGGTGATGAAGGCAACAATGAGAGCTGGTTGGACATAATTACTTCGTTGTCTTGGGAAGCTGCCATGCTTCTCAAGCCAGATATGAGCAAGGGTGGAGGAATGGACCCTGGGGGATACGTGAAGGTTAAATGTATAGCTTGCGGGCGTCGAATTGATAGGTAAATCTTTTTTATCTAAAGTTTATTCTTTCACCATTCAGTGCAGTGTGAGGCATATTCCTGTGCAGTATTATTTCAGTAAACCAAATTTAGAATGGTTCCTAAACTTTTATATTATATCTATGTTCTGTTATGTGCAAAAATTATGCAAGCCATTAGTTTTGACAGTTTTTCATTTCATTTTGTTCAGTACGGTGGTAAAAGGAGTTGTTTGTAAGAAAAATGTGGCTCATCGGCGAATGACATCACAAATAGAAAAACCACGCTTTTTAATCCTTGGAGGAGCTTTGGAATATCAGCGTGTTTCAAACCTCTTGTCAAGTTTTGATACTTTGTTGCAGCAGGTTCTTTTTACCTATTCCGTTTAATTGTGTTATAAGTTAAAGCTTTGAATTTGTAGGATTTTGATAAGCGATTAAACCCTGCCTATGTGTTCTATCACACAGTTATCTTTTCTATTGATTTAGCAGTCTTGGATGTTTCTTCTTTTGATGGACTATCCCTTTTTTAGGAAATGGATCATCTGAAAATGGCAGTTGCAAAGATAGACTCACATCACCCTAATGTCCTTTTGGTGGAGAAGTCTGTATCTCGGTATGCTCAAGATTACCTTCTTGCAAAGGACATCTCACTTGTTCTGAATATTAAGAGGCCACTTTTAGAGCGAATAGCCCGCTGCACTGGGGCACAAATAGTCCCTTCAATAGATCATCTCACATCACCAAAACTAGGGTTTTGTGACATGTTCAATGTGAAGAAGTTTCTTGAAGTGCATGGCAGTGCTGGGCAAGGTGGGAGAAATTGACAAAGACTCTGATGTTCTTCGAAGGTTGCCCGAAGCCCTTGGGTGTTACCGTAAGTCCTGAATATATACACATCAACACAGACTTTGTTGAGCATTAACTGGCACATTTTGGTGTCTTGTCAAATTTGTAGGCTAGGACTTATTGTTATTTGTATTTTCACTTATTAACACGGTGGGAGAACAAAAGAAATAGCAAAGACAATGGAATTGTAATCAGGTTAATGAGGCCGCTGATCAAAGATATCTTCATTCGGAGTTGTTCTTAGCTTGGACTGGTGGATTGGGGACATTTGCATGACTGTTATAACATTTTTTGTATTAACTACTTTAGTAATTCCCTTTACTATGTATTTCGTTTAAACCCAAAAAGTCCAAAAAGTCATGTGTTAAGAAGGATTGGATTTGTTTCAGATAATGCTCCACGGTGCCAATGGGGATGAGTTGAAGAAGGTGAAACATGTTGTCCAATATGGAGTTTTTGCTGCTTATCACTTGGCTCTGGAGACTTCATTTTTAGCTGATGAAGGTGCTTCACTTCCAGAACTTCCTTTGAAGTCTGCGATTAATGTTGCATTACCCGATAAACCATCAAGTGTTGACAGGTCTATTTCCACCATACCTGGTTTTAGTGTCCCACCGGCTGGCATGCCTCAGGGTCCCAATGCTAGCAGTGAGCTACAGAAATCTTTTCAAGGGTTAATTACAGATAGCAATTCATCTACCACTAGTGGCCCCATTTTGAACCTGCAAGGTGCCGATTCAATTTGCTCATCTAAAGCTTGTTCTCAAGCTTTTCTCATAGAACATGCTTCGAGCTCTAAAGAATCTAGATCTCTCTTTACTTCCTTGTCTCCTCCCCAAGAGGATATCACAGAATCCTACCATAAAGAGCTCCCCTCAATATGTGCCTCTGAAAATAAAATTGATGTGGGTTCTAAAGATTCTTGCCTGGACAATTCAGCTCAGGCTGGGGAAGCTTTGGTCAACAATGGTTTAATCTCTAATTCTCTTGCCACCTCAGAGGCATTAGGACATGGTGGCGGTGCTTTAGCTGCAACTCTTGGTGAGACTCCAGAATTGACGTCCATAAAACATCATAGTGATAATCAGAATGAGGAGGTAGGATCTTCAAAGGAAGAGTTTCTGCCCTCACCTTCTGACCACCAAAGCATTTTGGTTTCCCTGTCAACACGTTGTGTGTGGAAGGGAACTGTCTGTGAACGGTCCCATCTGTGTCGAATCAAATATTACGGAAGTTTTGATAAGCCTTTGGGGAGGTTCTTACGAGATCATCTATTTGATCAGGTATTTTTATTTTCAATCATTACCTTTTGTTTTTGCTAATTTTATGTGGACAGATTTCAGCAATCTCATAAGATGAAGTTGTCATACTTCTTTATCAGAATTACCTTTGTCGTTCATGTGGGATGCCATCAGAAGCGCATGTTCATAGTTATACTCATAGACAAGGGAGCCTTACAATATCCGTTAAGAAGCTCCCAGAGATTTTGCTACCGGGGGAAAGGGAAGGAAAAATTTGGATGTGGCACAGGTGCTTGAAATGTCCTCGAACCAATGGCTTCCCTCCTGCAACTCGAAGAGTAGTCATGTCAGATGCTGCTTGGGGTTTGTCATTTGGGAAGTTTTTGGAGTTAAGCTTTTCAAATCATGCAGCTGCAAACAGAGTTGCAACTTGTGGTCATTCCCTTCACAGAGATTGTCTTCGGTTTTATGGGTATGCATTTTCACTTATGAACTGCGAACTTTTGCACCAACCTCAGTTTACCTTCTTTCTTCGTGTTGTTTAATTTCAGAGAAATGCATATGCTGTTTTATCAGTATGTTATTATCTTCTTATGCTATTGTTCTTACATGTACAGTTTCGGAAGAATGGTTGCTTGCTTCAGCTATGCCTCCATTCATGTTCATTCTGTTTATCTTCCACCACAAAAACTCGAATTTCACAATGATAATCAGGAATGGATACAAAAGAAGCAGAGGAGGTGAGTTTATTATGTTTTATTTTTTATCTCAAAGTAGCAGGTGATTCTAAATTTATCAATGCTTATGAGATTATTGATCTTGTATTACTAGGTGGGTCATCGGGCAGAGCTTCTCTTTACTGAATTGCGCAATGCTCTTAATCATATTCTGGAGAAGAGACCAATTTCAGGGACAGCGGATGGTGGTAAGAAAGCACCTGAATCAAGTCAAATTGTAGAACTTGAAGAGATGCTTCAAAAGGAAAGAGAAGACTTTGAGGTAGTTTACGGGAATCACACCCCCTTTCTACATGCATTGTTTTTTTTTTTTCATCTGTTGGAGAAGGAAGTTTAGCCAACCCCACTTAGTGGGAAAAGGCTTTGTTGTTGTTGGAGAAGGAAGTTATATGTTTGCATTATTTGGTATCTCAATTGCGACATGACATTGTTTAGGAATCATTACGAAAAACGATGCATAAGGAGGTGAAGTTTGGCCAGCCTGCAATTGATATTCTCGAGATCAATAGATTAAGGAGGCAGTTGCTCTTTCACTCTTACATTTGGGATCAACACCTAATTCAGGCTGCCAGTTTAAGTAAAAAAAGTTTCCAGGAAGGTTTGAGCAGTTCCCTTCCAAAACTCAAGGAGAAACCTATCAGTTCTATGGAGAAGCTTGTCAACACAAATATAAATTCCATGCCAGGTAAAGGATTAAGTAGTAGTGATTCCTCTCTTCGGGAAACAAAGCCTGATGTAAGTATTTATCAAGGAGGAGATGTTGGCAGCTTTAGCCAGCCTGGAGGGGAGCAGAACAAAAATGAAATGGTTCAGGACCCGAATCATAGTAATGAGGCAAAAAATTTCACACCTTCCTCTGACAATTCCATTGATAAATCTGATCCATTGGAATCTGGAACAAGTGTACGAAGGACCCTCTCAGAAGGGAACGAGAGTCCAGTAGTGGCGAATTTATCTGATACCCTTGATGCAGCTTGGACTGGTGAAAGTCACCCAACAAGTACCATACCTAAAGAGAATGGCTACTCTCTACCTGATTCAACCTTTGTAAATTCTGCAACTGTGTTGAGAAAAGTTGAATCAAATTCAGATTTGCAAAATTGTGCTGTTGACCAAGCTGGGGTACAGGCAACTGCTCCAACTCATTCTCTTAGCTCTAAATCTCTCAAGGTGTTTGACAAAAATTATTCCTTTAATTCTCAAAAGATCATCATTGGTGAATACAATCCCGTCAATGTTCCAATGTTTCGGGAATTGGAAAGGCAAAGCCGTGCCAGACTGTTACTGCCCATTGGTGTTAATGACACTGTCATCCCTGTTTTTGACGATGAACCCACTAGTGTTATTGCATATGCACTTGTCTCGTCAGATTACCATTTGCAAATTTCCGAGTCTGAGAGACCAAGAGATGCTCTGGATAGTTCAGTCTCATTACCTCTTTTTGATTCCGCAAATCTTCTCTCACTTAGCTCTTTTGATGAGTCGCTTTCTGAGACCTACAGAAATCTTGGTTCTTCTGATGAGGGCATGTTATCTGTGTCACGGTCGCGGAGCTCTCAAGCTTTGGACTCACTTTTGTCAAAGGACATTCATGCTAGAGTTTCTTTTACAGATGGTGGCACCCTTGGGAAGGTGAAGTATACAGTGACATGTTACTACGCAACGCGGTTTGAGGCTTTGAGGAGGACGTGTTGCCCTTCTGAAATAGATTTCGTACGATCTCTTAGCCGTTGTAAGAAGTGGGGCGCCCAGGGTGGCAAGAGCAATGTTTTCTTTGCAAAAACCTTGGATGATCGGTTTATCATTAAACAAGTTACAAAGACAGAGCTGGAATCATTTATCAAGTTTGCACCGTCTTATTTCAAGTATTTGTCCGAGTCAATCAGTACTAGAAGCCCAACTTGCCTGGCAAAGATCCTGGGTATTTATCAGGTATTCTTCGTTTCTCTTGCTCTCACTAAAACGCCATAACTTTTCAGTTGTAAGTCTGACCCAATTTTTCATTTCTCTTTTGTCTTGAAGGTTTCGTCAAAGCATGGTAAAGCAGGGAAAGAGTCCAAGATGGATGTTTTAGTAATGGAGAATTTATTATTTAGACGGAATGTCACGCGGCTTTATGATCTGAAAGGATCTTCTCGATCACGTTATAATCCAGATACAAGTGGGAGCAATAAAGTTCTACTCGACCAGAACCTGATTGAAGCAATGCCAACTTCTCCAATTTTTGTGGGGAGCAAGGCAAAGCGGCTACTAGAGAGGGCTGTCTGGAATGATACTGCGTTCCTTGCTGTAAGTCCGATTTTAACTCCCTGTTTCCGCCTTAATGTTCCTCAGTAACCCTAATGTTTTCCAATCGGAAAATTCTGTGTGCACAAAGATTTTAACAAAAACCATTTTACGAATTGGTGCAATTTCTTGAATGGCATGGCACACATATCATACTACGATACTACCCTGCACCAGCCGATGCAGTGTGAGAAGAATGCATGTATTCTTTTTGTCGACACCTCCCTCCAAAAATCCAGTGTGATTGTTTTCGAGGCGGATTGATTAGATTTTGGTGTTTGATTATCATGGCATCCGTTGTTTACTAACATCTTGTCCTCTATTTTGCCACAGTCGATAGATGTCATGGACTACTCGTTACTGGTCGGCGTGGATGAGGAAAAGGATGAGCTAGTTCTGGGGATCATAGATTTTATGAGGCAATACACATGGGACAAGCACCTTGAAACTTGGGTGAAGACCTCAGGAATTCTCGGCGGAGCCAAGAACACGTCTCCAACCGTGATTTCTCCCCAGCAATACAAGAAACGATTCAGGAAAGCTATGACAACTTATTTCCTCATGGTACCCGATCAGTGGTCTCCCCTAACGATCGTTCCAAGCGGGTCGCAGTCTGACGTTGGTGAAGAAAATGCGCAAGATCCGACCTGAAACTGTGCTCTAGCCTGTGTATGTGTGAAGATTTTAGCTGAATAACTTTTACTTGTATACTTGAAGATGTGAGCTGAATGGAATAATGTCCAATACAAAGCTATAAAGCAGAATGACTCGTTCTTTTTCACATTTTCTCTCTTACATCCACTGTAATCTTTATTCAATAGTCTTTGTTTTTCGTTCTTTATAAGAGGTATAAAGAGGTAAAGAGCGTTTCGATTATTACCCGAGTGAAAATTAAGTTCTAAACTATTAGAAACTATTGATCTCCTTGTTGGATTCAAGGTTATTGCATCTAATCCTCCGTCAATTTAAGCAATGTGACTTGCACATGACGCATTTTAAAGGGGCCTACTGTCACTTTTTTGTCCATAAATCCTTACCATTGCAAATAGGCTTTAAATGTGACGCAGCACGAAGCAATGAAAGGGTTACCAACGTAATCCCTTGTAGAACAAAGTTACTAGAGTCCACCGGTTGATAGAAATCCCAAAGGATAATTTGATTAATTGATTGAAAGATGTCTAGATGATTACAAAGCCATGGCTTAAATAAGCCTTTTACAACCTTTTGGGAGACTCAAAAGACTTAAGGAATTAAAATGAAAATAACTGACATATAATAAAAACCCTTGAAACCCCAAAAGACTCAATTTATTAGTAGGCTACTGTTTTGATGACTTTCTGCAAAAGATGGCTCGAGCCACTTTTGTGGGAAAATTATTTTAACACGTTTTTGCGAAAAGTGGCTCAAGCCACTTTTATGAGAAATTAACATCCCTTTTATGATTGCGCACTTTTGTCTTCCGACGTTCCATCTCCTCCTCGATCCATTCCACCATTTGTTCTACATCAAAATGTAATTGTCAATTTACCCTGTCATTATAAACTGCCAACCTACCTTCAAAAGTATCACATACAAGTCAACTGACTTAAATTAACAGGAAATTGGAAAATATCTTTGAATCTTCATCGAATCTTACGGATGAAGGAAATTGGCAGTTTAATAAATTCAAGGACTAGTTTTCCAAAAATAATATAAAAAAAATATAAATTTAAAGACCTAATTTTCACTCAGTAATAATTTAAGGATTACTTCGGCAAAACCAAATTTGGAGCAACATATATTTCCCAGTTGCAAATAGCATATTCTGATATAGATTATGACCTGTTTTCAAAATACAAATTGTGCTTCACTGAACCAAAAACTAGAAACTGAAATCGAACAAAAACTGCTCATGAGCAATCTATGATTCTATCCTACACAATACCAATAAGACCGCCATTGGCTTATTATCCGTTACAAAAAATGATACATATATTTCCCGTTTCATAAAACTGTTTCGACATCGCAGGATTTCTCTAATCTACGAATAATAACATTTAAATCGCACGGCGAATAAGAACAATGCGTATGGTGCGAGGCAATGGCTTCACAAACACTCTAAAGGAGTTTATCAAGTTGTGCATGTAGTTCTTGTATGGAAGGCATGTTTATGATGCCTTGTACCTCTTCCGCTGAATACTCGTCCTTCAGCAGCGTCTGTACTCGAACATGTGCTTCGACAATATTTGTCCTGCAGAAAAAAAAAAAGGAGAAAAGAGAGAGCTTGTCAGGACCGAGTTATACAAGGAAGGTAAACTGATCCGTCATCAAGTAAAAATATCAACTTAATCTGTCAGAGGTGTATATGTTGAGGACCCTAAATTTTCAACGAGTGAATCCTGTACTCACTTTATAGCTTTGAATAGTATAGTTCGTGTTGACGGGTTCTGCAAATAAAGCTTCATTTTTGTCATTACCATTGGCAACTCTTGCTGAATTGCAGCAGCTACCTGTCCAAGAATACATTATGAGAACCAGCTGTTGTTATCAAATATATAGAGAGCAAAACACGAACCCTAGCAGACAAATATAGAGATGGCCCTCCCTTACACGGCTCTCCACCGCACTCAAGAAAACGAGAAACATGCATACCTTTTGAACAAGTTCAGCCACCTTATCTGGGGTTGCAAAAGCATGATCTTTAATTGGTTTGGCCATAACAGAGTCTACCTTTTGATTCTGGCTACCTTTCACAGCTGTGACCTACAAAAAAGCACAATCAAAACCTTTTAGACATGCCGAACTTTTGAAATACAGATGTAAGAATCCATGAGAAATCACATCCAAATGTGACCAAACTTAGTAAAGGCAGGACCCTTAATGACATTGTGAATTTTAAGCTATAACGAGCACTCAATTATAGATCCATCGATCCATCCTAGGAACCTCAACAAAATGCCATAGGAGTCTACCAATATAGATAGTGTTAGCATTTTTCTAACGATATGGGTTTATGGCAACATAAGGTTCGAAAAGTTTCAAACATATCTAATTTATAAGTATATGAGTAATTCACATGTGACATGTCTAATGTGGATTTCGGCAATTTATTCTAATGTTCTGTTTGATTTTTTTAATTGTGTACTTGTATCTATATGTATGGTTTCTCATTTGCTCCAAAATACATTTCAAAGCCATATTACCAAAGGAGGAAACGACAAACACAAACCTTGGTAATAAATGAAAGCATAGGATCCACAACCAGCTTCGTCACTGACATAATGAACTCCTCACCAGTGGTTTTCAGGCTTTTCTCCAAGTCCTGCAAGTACATTACAAGAACTCGTCACTGACATAATGAACTCCTCATTGATTTTGAATAATACAATTATGCATCCCCAGAAAATGAACCAAAGTGAAAAGTATAATTGAAACAAAAGCAGTAGCGGAAAACAAAATGATTAAAGTTATGCTCTAAAAATAAACCAAGAACACATTAAAAGGGAAAATGACAAACCTTTTTGGCATCTATTTGACTTTCCAAAACTCGGGGAGATAGGGTTCTTGCTAGTGAAGTTGACCTGGACCAATCAGATAGAGAGGCTTGACCTCTAAGAATTCGTCTTAGATGCTCCTGCCAGGAGATTAAAAAATATTAAGATTTCCATTCCATCAAATTTCAGGCATTTAAGTAACTTTTAATGCTTACTGCCTAAACCAAATCAACATTCAAAATATCTTCATCAATGAAATACTGTTCATACTAGAACTGATTTATTTGAAAAATAAAGTTTGTCTTTATTTTTCCACGTATTTTAATCAAAATAATGATAAATTGTTGCATCATTGCAATGAAGACCGAGAGGATATATCAAACAATAATAGAACTTTACTAAACACTAGATAATGCATTTGAATAGGAGAACTTTTGCATTAGAAAACTAACCAGCAAGTGCGAGAAATCAAGTTCCTTATGTGTGACAGAAAACTCAATATCGAAAGGTGCAATCTGGGAAGACGAAATAGATGCATTAACAAGTCATCTTTTAAAGAATAACTACCCATGATATAAACAGCAGATAGGAGGAAAAATCACCTGCTCCCTTAAGATAAGAAGATGCTTTAAGAGGAAAAGCTGACCATCCATTGGAGATGATCTCTTTGTGATGAGTTTGCCAGCTTTCTGGCAGATGAAAGAAACAACAATCAAGATAGCACCAAAAAAGCTTGTCACCATATTAAGCCCATGCTAAACAAATCCTATCAGCTTAATAAACAGGGATAATATGACAGTTGAGGTAACCCCAAAAAGAAAAGTGGAATTATGCACAGAGAATTTCAAAATGTGCTGCATATGACAGTACATATTCAGTGACTCACCTGGATAGATACTGAACAAACTTCAACTACTTCCTGAATACCAAAAAAAAAAAAATGTTTTAACAGAATTTATATGAAGGGAATTTATTCAAGACAAGTTTGACAGCTGAGCAAAGGCTTAAATACCTGTGCTAAACCAGTAAAAACTTCTGGTTCTAAACAGCGATACAACTTTGAAAGGCAAGATATCGTTTTCTCTAGAGGTGGATACCATGTTTTAAAAACTAGGTTTTCATCAGCCTGTGTTTGACAAAGATAAAGAAGGAAAGATGAGAAAATCGATCAAATTATATATAACAATCCGAGGCGAGCACATTAAATCAACCAGAAATGATGCAGAACTCAAGCTAACAATAGTGTAACCACTTGCCACCAACTTCTATAAAAAAGATATTCAATCGTGCATGAGTAATCCGAAATAACCAGCTTGGAAAAGTGTTACAAGGGCAATTGCATACTAGTGTCCCTAGAGGTAGGCTGCAAAATTAAAGGATATATTTAACAAAAGTAGTGATGAATAAGTTCTAGGGTCACTAAATGGCATCTTAGTATGTTCTATTCTCACCTCCCAAATATCGCTTGTATCGAAAACAGGACACAGTTTGTTTCTGTGCTGTGGATATTCCATTAAGTGAACAACTAATCTCACCAGACTATGAATGAATAATTCATCAAGGCCGTGAAAGACTTTACATAATGGAAAATTCAAGTTATTCAACCATGTAGAGATGTCCTATAAACCTATAAGTTTGGGTCTAGCAATGTTGACACCTAAATACACATCGGACAGCATAAACAAATATTTATCTGAGACATCCATAAAAGTTAAAAAAAGGAAATGGGAAAAAAGTTACAGAAGTATTTTCAAGTTGATCTGCTGCAGATCTTTCCAGCTTAGCAGGGTAATCCAAGTCTTCATCCAGAGGAAAATAATTTGCTATCTGGAAAAAAAAAAAAAAAAGAGAGAGATATTAAGAAATTTAAAAAGGAAAAAGGTACTGGTCAAGAAAACAAGATTAACAGGAAAATTAAGAAAAAAGGCAACTACTCAAAAAGCAATGAGGAACTCTTAGGAATAGAGATCACCTCATCACGAATATGTGTTCGAGCACGGAAAGTTAACCGCTCATGAACATCGGCAAGAATTCTCTCTAATGTAGGACGTAGACCAGCTAATGATTCACTCCTCCGACTTAACTGTTCACCTAGGACTTCAACTTTCAATATGTCAACAAGTTCACAAAGAAAATCAACATTTGTTTCATGAATAAGTTTTGGCCGCAGTGTATCATATAAATATGTGGACCTGCATGAATTATCATCAAAAGGAGTTATTATATAGTTTAAAATGCACATAAACCAATCAACCAGTGAACCTCCATCCTACAATGTAACAGCCTAACAAGGAATGAAGTGGAAAGGACCAAACCAATCAAGCTTCAGTCGCTTTTGGCACATTCAATTTAAAACAGATTGCTTAACCCATTATTACATGTCAGCCTCTCGAGAAAGCAGAAAACGAAGAAAACAACTATAAAGAAAAGATAATGGGACCTACAGAGGATCTATCAATGGAGCCAAACTTGAAACGTCCTCTGCAGAAGATGGGAAAAAATGATCAAAAAGTTGGTGCTCTAGCTGGCAGACCTGCAATGAATGGTGGTTTCAATTACCATTGAAACTTTGTGGTCCTACATCATAAATGTTCACAATGTATGCAGCTCAGATTCATACATGAGAATAAGTTGCACATCACATTACTTCTTACATCACAGATACTGCCACTATCATTAAAGAGAACAGGGTCAATCACCCCATCCTCACTTTATACTCTACAATAGACAAATCTTTCACTTGTATTCTTTGTAAGGAGTCTTTCCTCAATGAATGCCCTTGTAACATTTATACCTTACCTGCATTAGATATGCACATCCAGATCTAGTCAATGATGGCAAGGCCTCTTTCTTGGCGAATTCAGATATTCGTTGATGTACTATACCTCTCACCTGAAAAATGCATTAACAAGGTGGTTTACAAGTGATAAAATTAAGGAATAAATTAGTATGGTAAACAACTAATGATCCTTTTCAAAAATAAATAAAAAATTCATCAGCTCACCAAGGAAAGTCTCTGTTCACAATATAGTTTGTGGCATTCTGTAAGGATCTGAGTATATTCTTTCCTTGATGCTCTGCCTTCAATTTCCTCCAGCACTGGCTTAAGCTGCAGAGATTCTATTTGTTAGACATAAACACTTAAACGAGTGTGAAGTTAAAAACTTAAGGCAGAAAATTGCATGCCCGCATTCAAATAATAGGATAGAACTAAAAATGCTTTCCAGACACATCTTGCTTTCAGCTTTTCACACCCTGGCTGGTTAAAATCATCAATGTTACCTCACTCGCTGCTGCCTTGAAACGGACATATATAACGGATGCTTCTACACCCTCAGAAACAGATGCTTTATTGCCACCACTGCCCCGGATAGCTGCCAGTACCTGATGACAGTGGCCATAATTCAAAGCCAGGTAATATACACTAATGCATGTTAAGACTGAAGTCTACTAAGATGTGTTAATGGTAACTCAGTTCAATAAGGTAACATTACCTGAGAAGAAGCACCTTTGAGAACTGAAAGTACATGAGAACGAATCATTCCCAAGGCTCGAGACTGTCCAAAACAAGTAAACTATATATTACTGAAGGTCAAAACTAATCTTACTAGAAGACAATCTCCATTCTATACTAGTCACCTAATCAACGCTCTTGCAAATCATACCTGCAATTGTCGAAATTTGAGCAGGTAAACACTGGATTCTGCATATTGTGGATTGCTTTCAACATACCTAAAGTATGCACAAATTGTTTGAAAACAATAAGTTTTAATCCAATAAATATATCCTTATTAAATTCTCATTGTCTCCTAGTATAAATGACAGACTTCCAAGATTTTTAACTGAATAGTGTCTGAGACATAGAATTGCAGAGATTTACTAACAAAAAAGATACTTACGATATGCACTCATCAAGGCGTTTGAGAAGAGGGAGAAAGTTCTCGTGTAGAACATTCATGTTTGGAGAATAAAAATTGGTCGTAATCTGCACACAGTTGAAGAATTAAACGTGAATACAATATAATTATAGGATGAATATATATATATATATATATATATATGGTTTGTATTTCAAACAGTTTGTGCATCATGATATTTTCTCACATATCAGAACAAACAAAAGAAGGTAAGATCCTTGGAATGAGGCTTCAAAGTATATTAATTTGAACAACACTACAAAGTAATGCCTGATAAGGAGAATTCACACTAGGGAGAAGTTGACTCTTTGGAAAAAGAATCAATTAAATTGTTCGTTCAAAAACAAAAGTTTATCCATGCATTACGACATATATTTAACAAAACCACAATCTCAGCAAACAAAATAATATCTCTAGGTAAGGTAGATTCAAACCTTACATTCTCCAATTCATCAAAGTAGTTGAGCTTACTGCGGAGTGCTTCCGTAAATTCAATCAGCCGTTGCTTCTCTATCAACTGCAAATGAAAAATGAGGAAACATCAAGTTTTAAATAAGTTTCCAGGCCCCCACAACAATGAATTCAACCTGACAACAAGGAAAGTGGGAAGAAACAAAAAGGGTATCAATTGAAAGAAAATCCCACCAATCGGTCGCATGCATCATGAAGAGTTCTAGTCTTTGTTGCTACTGCCTGATGCTGATCTTGTAGTTCATTAAACAACTCCAGGGTGTCATCGACCTGCACAGAACGAAACCAGCTATCTCAAACAAACATAACTTAAAACAAAGATGTCTTCAACACCGATAGATATACATCACCATTACCTGACCGAGTATACCATCACATGTCTGAATGCGTTCTGTCAAAGTGTCTAGATAGTGTCGATACTTCTCCTCTGTCTAAAATGTAAAAAAAAATTATGTACAATGAGAAGAATTTACACTTAATTACATCATAAGGAGCAGTATTTGCTGGAAGAAATCGATAACTAACCTCTGACTTCAAGGCTGCTTCGAGATCTGTAAACCATTTGTAAAACTGCAAGTAGAAAATCTAATTCAGTGAGAAAGCCTTCGAATTGGAATAGATAACGGAATGTGATGGCGACAATGTACCTGATTCGTATTGACAAGAACAGCTTCAATGGCGGCTGAGTGTTCCGAGCCAAAAGAGCTGTCCTTGGTGGAGACAGTCAGGCCAATCTGGTGCCCTGTGGTACGGTCCTGTGCCAAATTGGGAGGGAATGGCCGCTCCGCGACGGAATGCGAGAGCGTTGAAATGGCTGCTTGCTGCTGCTCCGTTAACGGAGTATTCTGCACAGGGAAGAAAGCAATACATCAAAATTCAAATCGAGAGGATCCGATCCGATCCGATCCGATCCGATCTGAAAGCAAGCTAGTTGCAATTAAAGCGAGAAAATTGCAGAAAACTCAGATGTAGAAGAAACGGCATCGTTTCCATGGAGAATTTTGAATCTAGGGCAATGAGGAGGAGGAAGAAGAAGACGCAGCACCTGTTCCCAGTGAGATGCGAAGTTGTAGCCCTTGGAAATGGCTCCAGATTTCGGAACGCTCGGCTTGCTTGCCGCCATTCTCGATCTTCTTCAACTCACAACGACGTCGTTTCAGGCAATGGTTGCAGTAGCCTTCGTCGTCTTCCACAATTCGCCTCCTCTCCTCCGCCCTCTTTTCTGAGTCTTGAGTTTTTTCCCAGCCCTTCGCTTCCTTTTTCAACGATGAAGATTTAAACGCCCAGCTTTTGTGTTGTTCGAACTACCACGACGTCGTTTGGTGGTTAAAAAACAGTTGAATGTTGAAACGGTGCGAACTTTGTTTGCTTCTTATTACCCTTCTGTTTTTTTTTTTTCCCCTTACTTTTGGATTTTTATGTCACTCGGTCAGGTAAATGACTGAAACTGCACTCAAACAGAATCAATTTTTTTTTGGACAATCGATAGGATAAGTTATGTTAAATTCATCTACATAAATATTATTTTTAACATTTATTGGTCGCATTTGAAGTCATGTTTTTTCACTCTTGATAATTAACCCCAAAAAAATAAATAAATAAACTTCAACGAAAAACCACATTTTTACACTATAAAGTCAATGCTAATACTATTCATTTTACCCTTTATTTTATTCTTATCGTTAAAAATCTAAATTTTCAAGGCATTTTCATTAGTTTTCCAAAAAAAACAAAGAAAGGAAAAAAGGTCCTTTAAATTTCCAAGCTCTTGGCAAGTTGTTCAAAAATTGAACAAAAACTGTAGACAAGAAAATACAAAGTTTGTGACATTTTGCTGGGATCCTTGCAGATCTATTACAACAAAGCTACCCCAAAAAAAAAAAAATACACGAGACGTGTATTAGTCCTTGACGTCGGTGACACCTTCCGGGGAGATCTGAAACCGTGCTTCTGCTTCGGCCAAACAAGGAGAACTTATCACTTTACAGATGCGCTCTTCGCCTCTTCCTTTCCTAACAGCAAGCCTGTCGTAAGAAGAGATAAGTCATTAGTAATGTTCGTTGCTAAAGGAAAACGATTTCTTCTAGTACTACAAACCTTGTGGTGGAAGCATGAGCCATGATGTTACCACCAATAGGCTTAATTTGAGGACCGGCAAAGATTGCAGAACCATCCACTTGGGCAACCACTTGATTTGTGATCACAACAGCTACGCCAAACTGCGCTCACAGCATACGGCGGGTGAATCCTGATTAATAATAATGCTAAACTAGGGGGTCCGAGTATATGGTGTCAGTATAAGTGAAGCTGTAAGCATTTTTACCTCATCTGCTAACTTCTGAAGGCTCCGGAGAAACTTTGCAAGATGCATTTGACGGGCTGAAAGTTCACCTCTTCCTGAGAAATCTGTTCTGTACAGGGCTGTAGCACTATCTACTATCATGAGAGCAAACCTATAGAACCAACGTCAATTAGATAATTAGTCTTACCTAAAAATGTGTACACTTGACCAAACTATAAACGAGCATATATGTAGGACTGAGAGGCTCACGACAGACCTTAAGTCATGACTGTCAAAAGTCTACGTACAAGACAAAAGAATGGAAATCATAAATTGTTGTCACACCTTGTTTCTACCATCATGGAGGCTGCTTCGAGCAAGAGCCTTGATTGGTGATCCGTGTTATAAGCTCTAGCATACGCCACATTCTCCAAGACATCAGCACCATTGAGTCCAAACCTGTGGAAACATCATTAATAGTCTCATCTAGCATACACAAACCATAAGAGCAAGTTCACCTCAAGGTATCTATAGCAAACCTCTCTGCAATCTGTAAGAGTCTTTGTGGCCTGAATGTACCCTCAGCATCTATGTACATTGCTTTTCCTTCACCGCCTCCTTGATCCAAGGGAAGCTGAAACATGGAAATGAATTAGAAGTGCACTGTAACAAGTGAAATAAAAGGTTGGAGGTGGGTGGTTCCTCGTACAAATTGATTGATTTCTTTGTCTAGCCTACGAGTAAATTGTGAACCATAGACAAGGAACTCAAGAGCCCATCCACGTGAATAACTTTTGAATTATGGCAGAATTACACATTTTTGGAAAACATGACACTCAGTGTATGTATTATCCCTTCACGCGGTTGAATTGCAACCACATTGTCAAGGCAACGGAACATCTGGGAAGCCAGATCTAGGGTCTAATGGGATTATACTAATTTCTTCTTATGAAGCACCAGAACAACATATTAAACAGAAAAGAAATTCACTTACTTGGCAAGTTACACAAAGCGTGTGACACAACTGGGTCTTTCCAGAACGGAATTCGCCATATATCTCGGTAATAGATCCTGTCTCAATTCCTCCTGTTACAAGAAAACCACGCCATATCAACTTTAAGTTTAAAACATTGCATTTGTATTGGTAAAATAAGGACTCAATTCTAAGAACATTGGAAACTGACCCTCCAATATCTTATCAAGTTCTCTTGATCCAGAAGTAATTTGAATGATTTCAAGTCTCTGTGCGTGGAGCTGGCCAGCGCTAGTAAAACCCAAAGGCACAAGTTTGGAGGCTGCAATGAAATGAAACAAGCCAGGCAGCGGAATATCAAATTATCGCAAATAGTGATTCACATTATAAGAATGGTAGGAAAATGAACAAAATAAATAAATGACATACCTGCTTCGATGATCTTGTCAACTTTAGCGTCGCTGATTCCTTTGATTTGCAGAAGATCCTTCCTGGGAGAGTAAGCGACAGCTTCAACAGTGCAAAGACCCGCATCTTTAAGTTTCTTTACATCAATGGAAGCTATGCCGGACGCCTTGAATCGAAAAAATTAGAACATTTCATCATCAGCTAAACAAAGATTGCTGCTTTCATCGAGATCTACGCAATCCAGATTCTCAATTTCTTCCAAAATATTTATAAAAAGAAAAGACAAACCCATATGAAATTGGAAATAACGCACAGATCGGTTGCTGGCTAGGGTGTCTCATATCATAGTGGGTAAAGAACAAAACCCAAGACCGATAATTCAAAGTACAACGAAAAACCCGTATAAAATGTACAATCTTGAACAACAATTCACAGAAATTCGAACCCAATTTCAAAGAAAATGAGAACCCATTTCTTAAATTTCAAATCTGAGCAAGAAAACCCCATCGGAAGCAAATTGAAGAAGAACCCACATGGGGAAGCCATTCAATTGCTCGAAACGAGTGTGAATTGAAATGGTTTACCTGAAGTTGATCGACGGGGACAGGGCCATGGTGCATTTCTTGGAGCTCGTCTTGTTGCTGGGCAGTCTTCTGATTGCTCTGCTGCTCCATGGCTCCGCCGATTGTAGCTCTAACGACGACGGCGTCGACCGACTGAAAGACACAGAAGAAACAGAAGACGAGCAGAGAGGATGGGGAAGAAGGAGTGGGAATTGGTATTTTCAAAAGCTTTTAAGGGGCGCCAAAGCAGCAACACAGAGCTTGCTACGGAAGCTTTGGAGGTGCTTCCTGACTGCCTAGGTTGGAAGATTGAAGAAAATTACTTGTGGATTGTGGCCCAATTTTATAGATATATTGTCGGGCCTGTAGCCAAGCCCGTTTGTGGTGGTTAAGTTGAGCCCAATCGAAATCCTATTGTGAAGAATACAGCGTCAGATCGTTCATAGAGCGCTCAAATGTCTATGATTGAGACATGCCACAAAAAAATATTTTTAAATGAACAATGCAGCCATGCTTATATACCATTTCTAATCGAATGGGCTAAACATAGCCCTCTCAATAATTTACTAGTTTTAAGTATATACTTTAAATTTATTAGTAAATTTAATTAAACTACCGTTGGATGTTTTTAAATATAGTCATTGAATTTGAATCAATTATTGCAACTAAAGAGCTAAGTTCCAAAAAATGGCTAAGAGTAGGGTTACATTTGGCCAGTCTGATGCCTTTTGGACAAATAATGGTCTGGTAAGCTTCACAAAATTATAGCTCAATCATTGGTTGGAAATAAGGGCGGATCCATATAGGGACCAAGGTGGTCCTAGGACCACCCAAATGCCAGAAAAACACATATGAAGATCCTTCGGGGACCCTCTAAATATTACAATAGGGAGGACAGATTCACGCCTAGGACTATATGGGCTACGCCTAGGAAATTTATTTTGTTAAATGACATAGTTATGGATGGATCGTGGTACAATCAAAATTCTAGTGTAGTGCATCCATGGAGGAAGTCGAGGAGTTGCAGCTTTCATTGAGCGCTCAAATGAATATGATTAAGACATGCCACAAAAAAATATTTTTAAATGAACAATGCAGGCCATGCTTATATACAATTTCTAATCGAATGGGCTAAACATAGCTCTTTCAATAATTTACTAGTTTTAAGTATATACTTTAAATTTATTAGTAAATTTAATTAAATTACCATTGGATGTTTTTAAATATAGTCATTGAATTTGAATCAATTATTGCAACTAAGGAGCTAGGTTCTAAAAAATGGCTAAGAGTAGGGTTACATTTGGCCAGTCTGATGCCTTTTGGACAAATAATGGTCTGGTAAGCTTCACAGAATTATAGCTTAGTCATTGGTTGGAAACAAGGGTGGATCCATATAGGGACCAAGGTGGTCCTAGGACCACTCGAATGCTAGAAAAACGCATATGAAGATCCTTTGGGGACCCTCCAAATATTACAATAGGAAGGATAGATTCACGCCTAGGACTATATGGGCTACGCCTAGGAAATTTATTTTGTTAAATGACATAGTTATGGATGGATCATGGGACAATCAAAATTATGGTGCAGTGCATCCATGGAGGAGGTCGAGGAGTTGCAGCTTTCCTGCAAGGAAGAAGGTTGAAACTCCTTTTTCTTCTTCTTTTATGTGCTACATGGGCCTACCATTGCTACTAAAATATTGCTTTTAAAAAGCACTTTCTCATCTACGGTTCTATTTCTTTTTTTCTTTTTTTTTTTATAATTTCTATTTGGTTTTTTTTTTTTTTGGTTAAATTTCTATTGGGGTGAAATGGTGAAGGGCGCAGTTTTTATTGTGAATCCTATTTTACGTGCTAAGAATCCAATATTTTATAAATCACATCTAAATCTTTTTTTTCTTCATAGAAATAAGATTTACTTGAATTGTATACTCTATCTCTGCTAATACAATAATACTACATGATCTTAATAGGAACCATTGCCTTTATTTCTATTTAACAAAAGAAAAACTTTTTTTTCTTTTTCCGTAAAATTGTGAAAAGTTATCAAAGTATTTACATTTTTTTTTAACAATCGATATTATCTATACTAAAGGGGATGGGATGGGCTTAGCCTCACTGTTGTAGCCCGTCCCGAAATTTCATTTATCGTTGATGTGAATTGACGGAATTGCCCTTAAAGGTTGCTAAGGTATGTGTGACATGTTTATTTGAATAATGCATACCTTCCTAAGTTTTTGGAAAGTTAAGTTGGATTAAATTGTATGCAATTGTGTGGTTAGGAACTTAGAAGGACACACACACCAATCAGTTCATTCTCTTTCTTCCGCACGTTCTCTCTCCTTTCTCTCAGTCCATTCTCTCTCTCCCTTCGAACTAGTACGGACCACAGCCAAAGACCATCAAAACTTCACGGATCGTCGTGTTTGAGACCACTATCGTGCTCCTGGAAACCACACGAACTCTCTGGTATCCATTTCAAGTAAGAAACCTTTCGAATTCATGTTGAAAACCCAAGCTCCGATTTGAGCACTGTTCACAAACTTTGTGATGATTGGTTTTTAGGACAATCCAAGCTCACAGTGAGCTCTAGGAGGTTCCCATGAAGCTCGAGGACGTTCGTTTGGAAGTTTTGAACGTCGGGAAGCCCTAGTTAGAAGGTGGCAGGTTTTGGTGAAATTATCCCGACGAGTTTTCGAAGGATTTGGAAGTTTTAAAAGGTATAGCCTTCTTCCTCTCGTGATTTGTGACATTTTGGTGAAAATTTTGTGGAAAATGGTCCAAAATCGAGCGAGAAAATAGCATTTACAGGTCTACCCGGTTTTCTGGCGCCGGCGAGATTTTCTGGCGTCTGGAGGTAGGGGATGATGCGCGTGGGGGCGCGTAGCACCGTGCCTATCTCGGCGCGTGGGGGCGCGTGCGGTGTTGAAAAATTATTCTAAAAATACCTCGACGTCCGTGACGTCGAGTAGGTCACTGTGGTATATTCATATACCCAAATTGAGCATCGTATGAGAAGTTATTATGTATTGTTGGTTATGTGCTTTAAAATAACGTTTTTATAGTTGTTTCGCATATAGGTGACACCTATCCCGAGGACGAGCGCATTCAAGGGCGTCATGGGGGTTATGACCCTTCGACATACCAGTGAGTGGGCAGTTATTTTCTGTATATACCTATATACTACTGACTTTTCCCAGAAATCAAATTGAAATGATAGTATGTTTTAAAATGCCATGCATGTATGAAATATATGAACTAGTATTTGATGCATATATGTTAAATGGTGTTGTGGACGCACATGTGAGTATCAGGTGAGTTTTATGTTATTCATGTGATTTATTGATGATGTGAATTGTGTTGAGAGCTCATAATCTACACCCCTTGTGTTAGTGCTTATATTATTCCACCCCGCACCACACGTTCACCTTAGATCCAAGTAGGTGCATGTCGTACAGACCACTAGAGGTGGTTCCGACATGTCGTACAGACCATTAGAGGTGGTTCCGACTTGTAGGTGACTTTAGATTATTATACAGTTGTTGATGAGAGAAGCACTAGAGTGTATTCTTACACCATTCTTGACGTACAGACTACTTCAGATAGTTCCGATTTATGTGCAGAGTAAGGCCGTACATGTCACAATTGGTGACTCCGGCTAGATTGGATATTGAGCTATAGAATTAGCCGTACAGGACAACTGCAGGGTCTCCGGTTGATTCCTTATTTCACTTGTTATATTGATGCATCCTTATTATGTTTTGAAGCATAGCATGTCATATTTTTCCTGAAAAGTGTTAAAGACTTGTGATTTGAGTTATTTACTGTTATATATGGTTATATATACTATTTTTTCTGGGGAAGTATATAGGTTTTACAGCGAGGGGTTAGAAGTATTATTAAATGAGATATTTTCGAAAAGCTTTGTTTTACTGACCCACTCAATCTTGTTTTGCGCCCCTCCAGGTTCTAGTTAGCAGTGTTGGTGGCTCATGAGGATTTCCACGGCGTTCTGACAGACTACTTAAATGTATGACTCACCTTCGGGTGTTGTAATTTAGTAATGGTTCTACTTGACTGTACCTAGTACTTATGCTCTGATTATGTATGTTTCATACTTAAATTCACTCTAGCATGCTAGTTGGATATTATTGCTAGTAGTTGGTTTTTATTCCTTCGTATTTCTTTTACCTTTTGCTTCCACGTCACACTCTTGGTTACGTCACGCCTACGTGACGGCCAGCACGCCCTGATTTTAGGGTCGGGGTGTGTCACTCACAATAGGCTAGCAATAATGTGGTTCAAATTTACCTTTGGCGAGAATCAAACCTAAAACCTCTCACTTACAATTGAAGAAGAATATCACTAGACCGTAGTATTAAGTGGCAAGTATTTACAAATTAGAAGAAGGGATTTTATTCATGATGACCTAGCTTTGTTTTTACCATGATTTATGAATGAAAAATATTATTATTTAGTTTTTGTAAGTTTATCGTTTATTTCTTTTTTTAGACGTTTTACATTGGGTGGTTAGGACCACCCAATGTGAGAATCTTGGATCCATCACTTGTTGGAGATGAGTTTTTAGACAAATCAGGTTAATTTTTAGCTTTTGAATCTTTAGTCCTCCCCATTAAAAATAACATCAGCCTGCAAATTGCACGACTAAGGCATTTGCTCATCATTTTAGTTCAATCAGTAACATCGGTATCTTACTAGCATTAAGTATTGTTATCAACTTATTAACAGACCGATGGCATAAAAATTAGCGAACAAAAAAGTAGATTGGATGTAGTAGTACCACTCGACATGTCAATAGTTTACGCGTCACATAATACCGCTTTGTGTACCTTATAGCTAATGCATAATGATACATAAATAAACATATGTTGATGTATATCTATCATTTGGTTTTTTGTTTTAGTGGACCACTTATCATATCATGATTTAATTATATTTAATTGGATTCTAAGAATTGATTGGAGCAACTAGTAATACGGTGCACTGGTGCAGTGATATTTCTTTTTATTTGTAAGTAAGAGATTTCAAGTTCGATTCACATGAACGATGAAAATGTACACTAAAACATCCATATAGTCATGAAAGGTTATGGTCTCAACTTGAGATAGTTATATATAAGAATAAACTTCATTTTGTTATAAGTTACAATATTTTTTAGATTTCGTCTTAAGAAATTTGGCTGCACATAATGATAAACAAGTCTTAATATGCAATGTAATATTAGAAATGAAAGGTATTCACTTAAATTGGTTGAAGACGTTGTTTTGTA